ATACCAGTTTCACATTTTGTTTTTCAAAAGCATTGGGACGCAAAGCCTTTAATGAAAGACCATGTCAATTCTTTGCCAATTTATCATGTTCGATATCATACATTTTTAATAAAGTATCAAAACAAGCATAATGAATGACATTATCATCTCCCTCAAATGTTGGATAAACCATGGAGGTCTGCTCTCTTTACTTCAACCAGTTGTGCCATATACATTTCATTATATGCACTGGATCAATAACATATAATAAAGTTCTAGTCATATCTTTAGGGTGTTTATACATAAAAGTAACATCTGGAGGATCAGCAAATAAAGACATGGCTTTTCTATTAATAGCATTATTATCAGAAATGACAGAAACAACTTTAAATCCTATTTCTTCCAGTCCTAAAATAATTTTTCTGATCCACTGATGCAAACAATTACCTGTCATTTTATTGACTCCTAAAATGTGAGCAACATCTTTGAAATTACTTAATATACTAGCTATCATGAACACTTGAGCTGCATTTGCAGTAACTAATGTATCATTATTTGACATGCCAATCAAATTTCCATTTTTGTAATCAAAGTACTCTCAAGTGTATTTCATCTATCAACAGATTAATATAATACTCACGAGGTTGTAAAAATGTATATTTTCTGTTCACATATGATAAAAAGTTGTCTTCACATTTATCTTTTTGGGGCCCCAAATGTAAATTGGAACAAACTTTTCTGATTGTACATGGATGAGAACTGATAAAAAATCCAGCCTGTCTGATAAATTTGTAAGCACATAGTGAAATAGAATGCAGCAAACATGAGAATATCATAAATGAAGGACTATACAATTTTTTTAGAAATTGTTAATGACATTTGTTCAATGATAAAGTTGACATTCTTCCTTTTCTCAAATTCGGATAGATCTAAAGACTTTAAAACATTTACTACAAAATTTAAAATCACTTCAACATTATCTGGATTCTTAATTTCTGTGACTCTTTTCAATTAATTCCAATAAATCAACAAGTTCAGTTACATTTGATATCTTAGTTACGAAACTCGTTGAACTGCATTCCGTTAGAGGATCGGTACCTGAAGAAGAACCGTAACGGTTCAAAAACGTTTGTAACTGTTATAGAGTGAGGTAATACGCGCACCGGTAAAAGGTTTAGAGATACGAGTTGGTGTTACATTACTATGGTGCTGATATTCCATCATTTGTTGAAGAGATTTTTTCCTTACTAAGTAATAAGCAGCTATCTACTAAACAAAATAATTTCATTTCATTTGAACCTTAATGATTGATAAACTTTTACACTGTTTTGTGTTCATTATAATAAAAGTAAAATTTCAAAATAATAATACAAATTGAAGTTGAAAAATTAAAACTTAATTAACTGTTGTCCGTATAATTCTGTTACACAGTGCATAAAATTAAACTATATTTCTTTCGAGTGAAATTTTGATAACTCAACCCTTCTTTTAACTTTTGAAAAAGAATTAAAAGAAGGGTTCCACTTGTAAAATTCAACCATCAGCTGGATTGTCTTGCCGACTGAGAATTCAAAGTAGCCACGAATAAATTAGAATAATGGCTTACTATTCGAAAACAAAAAAAAATTGACATAACACTTATTTGCTACAACATCATGTGTGTTAACATACGCTTGTACAGTACAGGCAGGTTTCCGAAAAGGAAGAGAAACAGCTGATCATATCGCTAATCGTCGTTGGATAATGGAAACAGCGAGATAATACCAAAAAGATTATACATATGCTTCATTAATTACTCAAAGGCTTTCGATTGTATTGATAATGACAAATTGTGGAAGTGCCTCAAGGAAATTGGAATCTCACCTAGCTCCTACGATCGTTATATACTGGATAAGAAGCCACTGTAAGAACGCCATATGATGATACAGACTGGTTCAAGATCAGAAAGGATACAGCCCCGCCAGAGCTGTATCCTTTCACCATCACTATTTAATCTGTATGCAGAGGTGGCGATGAGGAAAGCAGATTTGAATGAGTCTAACATTGGAGGCAGAACATCAATAATCTCCGATATGCGGATGATACCACGACGCTCGCGGAAAGTTAGGAAGATCTTGAGCAGCTGCTTCCGAGAGTCAAGCACTTTCGTGCTTGACTCTCGGAAGGTAAGGCTGCTGCTTAACTTTAAGAAGACAAAAATAATGGACTACTGCACAGAATACGGAAGTCAAAATAGAGATCAACGGCGAGGAAATCGAGGTAGTGGAAGATCTCATATTCCCACGGTCCAAAAATCAACCGCAATGGCGATTGCAGTTCTGAAATCATATGACGCATAGCCCTTGGAAGAACCTCGATGATCATCATGAACAGCTTTCGGAAGAGCAAAGACATCAGTCTCCAAATTAAATGCAGTTTAGTTAGCGCGATTATTTTACGTATGGTCATGTATGGATGTGAAACTTGGAATCTAAAGAAATCGGACAGAAGGAAGATAGATGCTTTCGAACTGTGGTGTTGGAGACGGTTATGCCTATGCGGTACCGGAAACGTACGTTTTATATGTACCTAAATAAAAGATTGTGTGTGTGGTGTTGGAGACGGCTTTTGCGTGGATCACCAACAAAACTGTCTTAGACAGAGTCCAACGGAAAATCTCACTGGAAGCCCAGATAACCAAACAGAAATTGTCCTTTTTTTGTCATATAATGAGAACCAGATCCCTCGAGAAGGCGGTCGTGCTGGGGATGGTTAGCGGGAAAAGAGCGCGAGGCCGACCAAGGACTCGGTGGCTCGACACAATCAAAAGTGACACTGAATTATCTATAACAGAATTGAAGGAGATTCAATCTCTACGGGGTGACACCGCAATTAGATCTCGCACCACCTCAAAATCTTCCTAGGGCAGCCTCTGGTTCGGCCCGTGGAAAAAGTTTTCTTTCCAATTCGGCCCGGGGCAAAAACTGTTGGCCACCCCTGGGATATGATATAGGCTAAGCAGCAGTGGTAGATCCAGAAGAACTCAAAGGGGTTACTTCAAAAATTAAAAGTACAGTATTTGAATAATTATCGGTACCTTTTATTAGGCTAATACAGGAGTGACCAAACGTTTTACACAGCGGACCAGATAACCGAGAGAATGAGGAGCGCGGACCACATAACCATTTTGTTTAATATAGTAGACTATACCGAATACATACAAAATAATGACAAGATACATATTTATTTACCAATAGGCAAAGACGATGGCCGCAGCAAGCCGGTAATCTCATTTCCTAGAAACTTCATTGCAGGTACTGTACTTACACAAAAGCGCTCCGATATTCAAAGTCGAAAACGTCGCCGAATTGTTCATTTCACCGATTTTCTTAAAAATCATATTACTGTCAAATTCAAAAATTATATTGGACCAATTTTAGCATTTTTACTTACACCGATTTTAATTTTTTCTACGTAGTAAGTTCACGTACATTTTATGATATTTCCATATAAATAATTATATTTTAGCTCATTTGTGGAACAGTGCGGCGGCGGGCCGGATGAATCGACTTAGCGGGCCGTAGTTCGGTGACATCTGGGCTAATAGGTGCACGGCGAGTGTATTGGAACGGTCCGATAAACCGTATTTGCCATCATGTTTTTAAAAACAATGTTTTGAAATTCGAACAGATTAAAAGTTTCCCCTTGTCGATGGGGACGGCATCCCCGTAATCTTTCCTCGTTTTCTCCACTGCCGAGCAGCACCATAACATTCGTAGGGAATATTATTAAAGCCCACCACAGATTAGGCTATGACGACTAGGAATTTCGACACGACGTCGGAGGCAACTTTTATAGTTACGTGACTGTTTACCTTCGATGATTGGAATTATTATGTCCATTAATGTCACCGCTCGCGATATCATTCCCGACGCAGTTCTACAGAATCAACGAACATTTCGTCTACCCCTCAACGAACTATTGCCGGGTATTTTGTTTCGTAAAATGGCCGAGACCTGTCTATTTGGCAGAAATTTAATAAATAAACGAAATCGGAAACCCGATAGCTTTATAAATTTCAATAAAATTAATGAAATCTATGAAAATCTATCTTTGTTTCGTAATTTCAGCGTAGCCAACACACTGCCGCGTTGCCTTTTTTCTTAAGGCCTACAGTTCGGCCAGATGGCCGAGCGGTCGAGGTGACAGCCTACCGCTCTGGGGGACCCGGGTTCTAATCCGAACGGGTCGAAAAATCCCCAGGAATTTTTCGGGGGATGGTCCGTTCGGATATGTCGGGCCCCGTCCCTCACCACCCGGCAGCCCCATTGTGGGCCTGGCCGAACCCATAATGGGCTCGCAAAGAGGCCCTCTTAGCGCCAACAGGGCGAAAAGAGTTTAAAAAAAGGCCTACAGTTCAACCTCTTTTCTGGCAAAATTTCAAACACGCACGTGCGTCGAATGGATGGCCGACTTTCCATCCAACGGTACGACGTAGAGCCACGTCGAGTCGACGATCGACCGCATTTTGTTCGACGTCTCCTTTTACAGTTTGCTCGGATTGTGCCTAGTTTTTGGCGGGCTTAAAAGTTCGAATAGCGCAATAATTATACATCGATAGAGAAGTAGGCGCGCGGCCAGAAAAAAAATTACCGAGTTCGTGTGCCACTATTAGAAAAAGGTCGAAAAACGCGAGGTTAAGGGTCGGTCCACCGCTGCGGGGAACCCGAAAACCCATCCGGATGGGTGAAAGGTCGGTTTCAAATACGGTATGTTGCGACCCAGACTTCCGGTGGCGCCGTGGCGGATTCGATAAAACGATTCTCTTATTGAACGCGAGGAGAAAAGAATTTTTAAAAAAGCAAATTTATATTATAAATTATGTTGCACTTTTTAAATTAAAATGCGTCGTATATTTTTATACGTTTTATAACTTATTTCAATGACGATAACATTATGTACAAATATTTACCTACGAAGATTTGGCAACACTGATTTTCATCGTAAACATTGTCAGGCGAGAGACAAAGGTACGTGCAGTATAATTGTTGTTTAAACTAATTTTGTCATTTAATTAATTAATGGAATATTTTGGGTTTAAATATTTAGAGTCGAGCACCTTCGTAAATTGTAGAAATGTAGACATTGTCCGATGCATGGCACATTTTTATATAAAGTAAGCTCATTTACATTTTTGTGGTTAGCCCATTACTATAATTAAGAATTACTTTTATCAGATGGTGATATAAATATAGGTAGTTTGACATATTAAACGGTGCAAAATTAAATTATTAAACACTTTAAAACCATTAAATTTCTTCAACAGTTACGAAATAACAAACATGTATTAATGCAAAATAAACGAGACTGACATTTAGATCTGCGAAGAACTTTATAAGTCGTGCGCATCTGTTAGTTTGACGCTGATTTTTTGCCAGTTTACATTAGCACTTTTGAAATCCTTAACCAAATAATGATTGGTCGGTCGCAGTTGGTTAGTTTATTGATATTTCTGGTACAGTAGACCCCCCTATAACGCTTAGATACGTTCCACGCTAACCGAAAATTACGTTGTAGGAACGATTAAATACATGAGCCAATCGCAGCCCGATAGGTGGGAACTTTACGGACTAAGGCTGTTCGAAAGGTTTTCTTCTATAAAATTAACCGATTCTAGACTAATTTGACTCAACATTTCCAAAATACGTATAATTTTTTGGGAGTAATCCGTATAAACTATGCTATAAACAAAAAATTATAGGATTACTTACCGAGTGTGTACCGTTCGACTACGCCGTTGCTTAAAGCTGGTTTTCATCGCGGAACAGCACATTAAACGACGGCCGCGATTTCTAATAACGAATTTTTCGCATAAAAATAACTTGACCTTTGGAGACATCATTAATATAAATAATTTTTATGGCCGTTGAATAAGAAGTGTTTCTTTCACAAGAAATGTATAAAATTAGTGCTGTATTAGACTTACGGTACCTAATTTACATACTGTACAGACGATAATAAACTCAACTTACTAGCCTAAAATCTCCGTAGCGTGTTGCCAGGCGGCAGAAAGCATATATATAATTATAATAAAGTTACAATAAATTAAGTTAATATATAATTATATATACAGTACCTAATTTATATATAATTAATATATAATTATATGTACAGTACCTAATTTATATATAATTTATATATAATACTAAACAGACGATAGCAAACTCAATTTAGCCGCTCCGTAGCGTGGCGCAGGGTCGGAGGAAAGTAGTTCGGCTGCTCATCCACTATTGGTCCAGACTCTATCAATCTTGTCGCGAAACGACGTTATAGGAGGTACGTTATACGAAAGTTGCTACAATTTTTTCGCTACGTTATAGGAATTGTCGTTATAGGAACGTACGTTATAGGGGGGTCGACTGTATTTGGCAGGAAAAATCACATCATCGTACTCTGGCAACATTGCAGCAACTCGGATGTCGACAAAATGGCTAGAGTAGATAAGATTCCCTCCAGTTTGACCTCGATCGACGATATAAAAAATTCATTATCGATGAAAATACCCTCCCATTGGCTTGCCCTGACGTTTACTTCGAAGATCCAGGCGATCGTCTTGTGTTTATGATTTACTGACGGTTCCAAGATGGGTGACGATGAGGGTGTCGTTTTTGTAGTTTACTCGGACTTAGGCCGCAAGCTTCGCAACGCTTGCTTCCGTCTAGGTACGCACTGCTCAATAGTATGGGCGGAAACTTTAGCTATTTATATGAGCTCAATTCACGTTAAGCGTAGGAAGGACAAAAGACGCTACTTACGCTATTGCATTTATTCTGACAGTAGGGTAGCTTTACACGGAATTGCGAAGTTTGATAGCAGCTTAAAACTCGTCCATCTCATACACTTAGACAACAATAGAATAGATTTCCAATGGGTCACGGGTCATGCGGGGGTTCGTGGCAACGAGACCGCTGACCATCTTGCCAAACAAGCTGTAGTTACATTCCTACCTTGTACATCAACAATCTTTATTCTCTGGCAAGCATCACCACTGGTAGGCTCACCTACACTTTCATCCCCAAGGTTGACAATACTGCAATTCTTCGCCACTTTTATCCATTACACCCTGACTCGGCTATTTACGGGACACGGCAGCTTTAAGCAATATTTGCATAGATTTAACTTTGGGGACAATGCGATTGTGATATTCAGTAAAACTAAATACCACTTCACTTAGTTTTTTTGCTGAAATAGGTACAATCACATTAGGGATAGTTTAATGAGAGCTGCTGTTCTTGAAGGGTACAAGTGGCCTTGCAACCCACACAAACTCACTCACACATGTACAATGTTCCATCATCTACTCGCATTCCCTGGAGCAAGTACTCTCAAGAATCCCACTAAGGGTTCTTGACAGCACTTGCTCCAAGGGCATAGATGGCAATTAGCTTACCCTTGCTTTGTTTCAACCGTTGTTATACAGGACGAGTTTTTTATCTTGAGACAATGAAATAATTGGATCTCATTAATTGTCTATACCATTTTCCCAAAATAAAGTTGTAGGGTTTCGAAGGCCAATCAATTGGTGACCTTGGATGTGACCGGTCATTTGAGGGTCAAGTCTCTTTTTTCAATGGGAACACGCATTTTTTGACCCCGGCGATGGAAAAAGTGGGAAAATTTCAAACCGGATATACCTTTGACTTTATGGTTTAGATCAAAGGTCAAGATTATTTTAAACTTAAATTATAAGCTGTTTCTAATGGGAAACCATACTTTTTATTACAGGAATAGGCAGGGAGGTAAAAGTTACATTTACATGGAAAGAGCAGGAAATTTCAATCAACCATGACCTTGAGTATCTCAAATTTGACTTCTGAAGGTCATCTCACGTGATAATTTTAAGTGCGGCTCAACAAATGCATCAAAGTGGAAGGGCATCATGTTGAACATTTGTTATAAAATTTTCCCCAAAACCAACATCTCAAGCAATGGTGAGAAGTAAAGTGACTCACCGAAAATAAGCACCTCAAAAGGGAGCAGAAACTACTACATCACATTGTTACTCCTAGGTAGTGCTAAAAGTTGTGAATGCTTTTAAAGGTCAAAGTAATAACGTCATGAAAAAATGAAACTTTTACATCCCTGCCTATTCCAGTAATAAAAAGTATGGTTTCCCATTAGAAACAGCTTATAATTTAACCTTAAAATAATCTTGACCTTTGACCTAAACCATAAGGTCAAAGGTATATCCGGTTTGAAATTTTCCCACTTTTTCCATTGCCGGGGTCAAAAAATGCGTGTTCCCATTGAAAAAAGAGACTTGACCCTCAAATGACCGGTCACATCCAAGGTCACCAATTGATTGGCCTTCGAAACCCTACAACTTTATTTTGGGAAAATGGTATAGACAATTAATGAGATCCAATTATTTCATTGTCTCAAGATAAAAAACTCGTCCTGTATAACAACGGTTGAAACAAAGCAAGGGTAAGCTAATTGCCATCTATGCCCTTGGAGCAAGTGCTGTCAAGAACCCTTAGTGGGATTCTTGAGAGTACTTGCTCCAGGGAATGCGAGTAGATGATGGAACATTGTACATGTGTGAGTGAGTTTGTGTGGGTTGCAAGGCCACTTGTACCCTTCAAGAACAGCAGCTCTCATTAAACTATCCCTAATGTGATTGTACCTATTTCAGCAAAAAAACTAAGTGAAGTGGTATTTAGTTTTACTGAATATCACAATCGCATTGTCCCCAAAGTTAAATCTATGCAAATATTGCTTAAAGCTGCCGTGTCCCGTAAATAGCCGAGTCAGGGTGTAATGGATAAAAGTGGCGAAGAATTGCAGTATTGTCAACCTTGGGGATGAAAGTGTAGGTGAGCCTACCAGTGGTGATGCTTGCCAGAGAATAAAGATTGTTGATGTACAAGGTAGGAATGTAACTACAGCTTGTTTGGCAAGATGGTCAGCGGTCTCGTTGCCACGAACCCCCGCATGACCCGTGACCCATTGGAAATCTATTCTATTGTTGTCTAAGTGTATGAGATGGACGAGTTTTAAGCTGCTATCAAACTTCGCAATTCCGTGTAAAGCTACCCTACTGTCAGAATAAATGCAATAGCGTAAGTAGCGTCTTTTGTCCTTCCTACGCTTAACGTGAATTGAGCTCATATAAATAGCTAAAGTTTCCGCCCATACTATTGAGCAGTGCGTACCTAGACGGAAGCAAGCGTTGCGAAGCTTGCGGCCTAAGTCCGAGTAAACTACAAAAACGACACCCTCATCGTCACCCATCTTGGAACCGTCAGTAAATCATAAACACAAGACGATCGCCTGGATCTTCGAAGTAAACGTCAGGGCAAGCCAATGGGAGGGTATTTTCATCGATAATGAATTTTTTATATCGTCGATCGAGGTCAAACTGGAGGGAATCTTATCTACTCTAGCCATTTTGTCGACATCCGAGTTGCTGCAATGTTGCCAGAGTACGATGATGTGATTTTTCCTGCCAAATACAGTCGACCCCCCTATAACGCGGTAGATACGTTCCGCTTTATAAGAATTTCGCGTTGTAGGAATCCTCAAATACACGAGCCAATCACAACCCGGCATGTGTGCAGTTTACGGACTGCGGCTGTTTGAAAGGTTTTCTTCCATAAAATTAATCGATTCTAGACTAATTCCACTCAACATTTCCAAAACGTGTATAATTTTTTGGGAATAATCCGTATAAACTATGCTATAAACAAAAAATTATAGGATTACTTACCGAGTGTGCACCGTTCGACGACGCCATTGCTTAAGCTTGTTTTCGTCGCGGAGCAGCGCACCAAACGGCGGCCGCGTTTTCTGATAAGTTATTTTTCTGCGAAAAATTCGTTGAACTTTGGAGACATCATTAATAGAAATAATTTTTATGGCCGTTGAATAAGAAATGTTTCTTTCACAAGAAATGTATAAAATTAGTGCTGTATTAGACTTACGGTACCTAATTTACATACTGTACAGACGATAATAAACTCAACTTACTAGCCTAAAATCTCCGTAGCGTGTTGCCAGGCGGCAGAAAGCATATATATAATTATAATAAAGTTACAATAAATTAAGTTAATATATAATTATATATACAGTACCTAATTTATATATAATTAATATATAATTATATGTACAGTACCT